ATCCCACCAGGAAATCCTAGTTCCTCCAGACTCTCAGGTGCCAGATGGCTTCCCAGCCCGACAGGGCCCTCAGTTTGGATCCCAGAGGTGCCATCCATCTCCATGACAACCACGCCACTTCCTGTGCTCATTGCTACAGGTTGAGAACCTCTGCTGATTATCATTCCAGAGGAATGTCGTGAGCAAGAAGCAGCGCATTTGCTACCTCCCTTCCTTGGAAAGTGTTGCTTCCACATGCCCACACCCAAGGCAGCCCACACTTTAAGGAGCTGCATTGCAAGAGCCAAACACCCGGCTGCAACGCTTCCATTAGCCAAATTTGCACCTCTTTTCTTAGCCTGGAGGGGGCGCTGCATCCCAGAGAAGACACAGGTCTCTTGCTAAAAACAAACTCAGTCTCTCAGAGTTGGTGGGATCGAGGGAGGCGTGTGACACCATGCACATGTATGCATGCACGCCCAGCACTAATGAGCATGACTTTTCATCTTGGGCTGTCATTCCTCCTCAGGCTAAGCCCCTGGAGCTCTGGGGACGGTGGAATGGTGCAAACTGCCACAAGGACACACAAAGCAGGGAGGAAGCAGACTTAAGGGGGGAAGAACCATCAGGACTATATCACTGGCCTTCTGCTGCTGCTGCTGTTGCTGTTGTTGTTGTTGTTGTTGTGTGCCTTCAAGTCATTTCTGACTTATGGTGACCCTAAGGTGAACCTATCATGGGTCTTCCTGGCAAGATTTCTTCGCAGAGGGTTTGTCACCATGGCTTTCATCTGAGGCTGAGAAAGAGTGACTGGCCTAAGGTCACCCAGTGGGTTTCCATGGCTGCATCTGCACTGCAGAAATAATGCAATTTGACACCACTTTAACCACCATGGCTCAATGCTATGGGACTCTGGGATTTTTAGCTTTATGAGACAGAGAATTCCCTCCATATTCTCCAGGGTTAGGGGTGAAGGACCCCTGTAAATGTGAGAAAACTGCAAATTAAAAAAAGACTATTCTTTTTACCTAAGAATCTAGGAATCTCCAGGTCCTTGAGTGCAACACAGTGGCCAGCCCCTGCCAGATGTTGATCATAGAGTCATGCTGCAGGACCTACAAATGCCTGGAGGACTGTGTTTTCTCTAGGAACTTCGAGGTTCTCCAGTAGAACTCTATGGTCAACCTCTGGCAGAGTTTCTCTGGAAGTCCTGGAGATTCCTAGAGAGGACATATTAATGAAAACTGCAAATAATCAAATCCAGAAAATGTGGAGAGCCAGCTACAGGATTCCATAGGATGGAGCCATGGCAGTTAAAGCAGTGCCAAACTGCATTATTTCTGCAGTGCAGATGCAGCCATGGAAGCTCTCCACGCAAGGACTCAAAGCCCCAAAGAGGGTGGTGAGAGGAAAAGGGGCTGCTGGTGAAACTCCTGGCTGCTTCCAATCATTGCTGGAGCTGCAACTGGGATGTGGCATTGGAGGCTCTGTCCCAACTGGTTTCAGTGCCAGGATTCCTTCCATCATGAATCCGAGGAACAATGGGTGCCAATCCCAGATGCAGCCCTCAGGGCTTCTCCCACGCCTACGGACCGTCCATGGCCACAATGGGGAAAGTGGAGGAACGTGAGAAAGAAATCCAGGGTCCGTTGCCACATCCTCGGAGGCAGGAAGGCTCTGTCCTCATTTGGGAGCTTCTCTGGACTTGCAGGAGCTGGAAGACACACAGTTGCTCTTTCTACTCCCGATGTCATCATCTTGGCAGTTTGGCACAGAGTCCTCATTCAGGCGTCCATGGATTTATTCCTCATCCCAGGAGAGTATATTCCCAGGACAAAGGAGGAAGAAGAAGAAGAAGAATTAAAAAAATGGGGAATACACCCACACAGACCCCCCCCCCCATGACAACCCTTCCAGATCCCTAAAAATACTACATGAAGGTTGTTGCTGAATGGGGCAAGCTGTGTGGTAATAGGCACAGAGAGAATATTCTGTATTATTTTCTTTTTCCTGACATTTAAAAAATGAGAAGAGTGACACAGCACCGTATTGCTGCACAGTTGTTTTTCGGCATTCATACTTCCCAAATTATTCTGAGGAATTGCTTGGCACAGAAATGTAAATGGGTTCCCCCTCCCATGTTTTTGTGCAGAAAATATATTTTAAATGAAATATTTTTTGGGGGGGAGGCACATATATTTTGGTACAAAACAATTCCCTAGAACACTTTGCAACATGCAGAACACAATGCACAAAAACAATTGTTTTCATCCACAGCATTTTAAAAAATGGATAACAATGATCCTGTATCCAGCCCAGTTTCCAAAGCTCATTGACTTCCCATCCAGTCATCTCAAGTATCTGTAGAGCAATCTTTCCAGGCAGGCACCCCCCAGAGCATGAGAACAGAGAGAATTCTGGGAATTGTAGTCCATCTGGGAAACATCCTCTTGCCTGTCTGTATTACTATAATGCTCGAGTTGTGGAGTAAGATGAAAATAGTGAGAATTGAGTTCGTGGATAAGTCAGTGATCAAATTTCACTCATCTCATGCTCCTTGTCTCTCTTTTAAAGAAACCCTCCGTTTTGCACACACAAAGATGCCCCATGTTTAATGTTGTGGAATATTTCTAAATATCCCAAGGGAGCATGCACCAATGCAGCTGTTTGTCATCATTTTGGCACCTAGTCATGGATGGCAATGCAGGCATTAACCATAAATTGACATGCCCTTGTGCACAGCTCAGACTCATGCAGACTATTAAAACCTCATTCCCTTTCTGTCTCCTTCCTTTTTCTCTCTGTTTCCTAAGCTATGCTCAAAGCCAAAGAGATTAGCCATTCATAGACAAATGCGCACCACAAAAGCAGACTTCAATGGAGTCTGGTCATAATGGTGGATCACGCTGGAGAGAACAGACGGAGGTTGTCCTTGCCATCCTGGGTTAACTTGACCATAGATTAACACTGTAGCCTTGGATTGTTATGGAAATGCACCCCTTTCCAACAAGGGCTGGACTGGTTCATAGTTTCATATGGTTATTACTTCTCTTACCCCCCCCTCCATCCTGTGGACTAACCTCAGTGAGTATTTTTAGAAGCAGAAAAAAGTTAGATCCAGATTTTGCAGGATTCCTAGAGGCTTGTTTTGAGGCAAAACTGCACATTTTACTTTATGTGCGGAACATATTGTTTCCTGTGTAGGAAATGCTGTAGTTGGGGATCTATTCTGCACAAAATTTGCAGGTGGTTGCTTTGTGCAGAAAATGCTGGTTTCTCTGCAAAAGAACCATGTGCACATTTTGCATAGAAGAAGTTCTGAACTGCAAATAATAATAATAATAATAATAATAATAATAATAATAATAATAATAATAATAACATCCTGCCCCTCTACAGAGCAATCGGGGTGGCTATCAAAGATGCTAATCAGTCAGGTTTCTTCTCTTTAGGTTTTTTGAAAGACTTGAAAACATGTTTTTTGACCATGTCTTTGAATAGTTTTGAAGGTTCTTCCTCTCCCAACTGCACAAATACCTGTAGGTGCATTTGCATTCACAATAGTATTACCTATGCACTGGGTTTTTGCAAGCTTGAACTGAATGCAGATGTTCCCCATATTGGGCAAAACATCTCCATCCATTTCTGCAGAACAAAGTGGATTATTTCTGCAGTGTGTTTTGGCCCAACCCTCCAACAAAAACAGTGTAATCTAAGCTGCTGGCTCACATATTGCTGGATTACATATTGGGAGAAAGGTGGGATAATAATAATAATAATAATAATAATAATAATAATAATACAGCAGGAGCCTTCCTTCCTGGAGATCTGTGGAAAACGTGAAACTGGAAGACTTTGCTTACTTGGGAAGAGATTTTTTTTCTGGGGGTTTTATATAAAAAAGAGCTGAGAGACATGTTAAAAAATAACAATTAGAAGAGACACATTTGGAACAGCCAACCATGCTTGCTCTCCCATTTTCTGTATTTTTGTCAGTTTGTTTTTCCAGTTCATTCTGCTGTGGTTTCTTGCCTCCTGGCTACATCTGATGAAATTGCATCTCCCTCTCTCTCCCCCCATTTCACACACACACACACACACACACACACATTGTGATAAGAAGGGCAAATCTCCCATGCTGACCCCTCTCCGCTTTGCTCACATCCTTTTCTTTGCAAAGCTGTTTCTATGACAACAAGCCCAACAAGTTGAAGGGGGGAGAGACAAAAAATGAGAATATGGACTGGAGGAAACGTCAAATGAAGGAACATCATCGTCCCAAGAGGGATGCCTTCTTCTATAGGATCCAAAACAGGACCAGTTGCTGTTGGAAAGAGAAAGCACGGCCGACTCTGCTCCGCCACTTTACGCTTTACTCCACATTTTGGAGAGAGAGATAAAGAGAGGCATAAAGCATTGTAGCCGACTCCTCTCCAGGGCTTTGTGCATCGTATGGTTTTGCAAGATGAGCAAACATGAGAGAACTGAACTTTTCTTAGCACTCAGGGGCCACAATCCTATAGAATGCAGAATAGTAGGTCAGCATGCAAACCTATGCCAGGCTGAGCCAAATGCCACCCCAAAATTTCAGAACCATGTCTGAAGCCCCCTTTGGCACAGCCATTCTGTGCTTCGTGGGTAGAAGCATCCGGTTATGACCCTGTCGCCCGATGCAAAATGATTACAGCAGTGCTGAGACCTTTAGAGAACGTTGTTTGATGTCACATTTTGCATCTGGCTAAGGGAGGCCTTTCTGCAATCCTTCCCAGTCTTCCAAGAGGCATGGAAGGCAGCTTCGGGAAAAAGAGGGAGACCACCTACTATGTGGACTCACTCCATCAAAGAAGCCATGGCTCATGTCCTGAGTTTGCAAGACCTGAGGAGGACTCTGGGGGTCCCTCATTCATAGGGTCCCCATAACCCAAAGTATCAACTTGATAACAAGTAATAACAAGCAATAAGGGGAGGAAAATGAGGGGGAGGATTAAGAAGGATGAACAATATTCTGATAGCCCTTTAGGGGGTCAGTGGGGTTAATGGTTTGAGTGTTGGACTACGACTCTGGAGACCAGGGTTCGATTCCCAGCTTGCCCATGAAACTTACTGGGTGACTTTGGGTAACTCACACTCTCTCAGCCTCAGGGGAAGGCAATGGCAAACCTACTCTGAACAAAACAAGGTTGTGAGTTCAGTACCAGCCAGGGCTCAGGCTCAACTCAGGCTTGCGCCCTTCTGAGGTCACTAAAATTAGTCCCCAGCTTGTTGGGGCAATTAGGTTACAGTTGTATACTGCTTAGAGACTGCATTGCGCAGTATGAAGCGGTATATAAATGAAGCTGGTATTGCTATTGCTAAGAAAACCTTATGATAGGTTTGCCTTAGGGTTAACATACATTGGAATGACTTGAAAGAATACAGCGACAATAACAACAACAACAACAACAACAACAACATCCCTTTTAGGAAGAGACTGCAATTGATAATTTTCTTTCTCTCTTTCTCTAACACACAAAGAAACATATATGGACACATTTCATGATGAAGAATATCTGGGAAGAGGCTGAAATGGGGAAATGGTGTAGCGGGAGAGAGATCAAGCCCTTCCTTCCCTGCATTGTAGCCCTGATCCAAATCAACTTCAGTTGTGGTGTTTGCAAGCAAGGAGGAGAAGAATAGGATGCTGATGGCTCTCTCCAAACCAACCCTTTGATTGTCCTGTAGCCTTTCTCTGCTTGCCTTTTTCTACCCTTCGGAGGGTCAGGGAATGCTTAAAAATCTCCCTCGATGGCTTGGGAAGGCATCAGAGACTGGTAGGAACACACAGCAAGATACACACTTGGCACTCGGAGTCTTTTGTGAATCACAGACTACATTTTCCTCAGTGCTTCATCTTTTCCTCCCCGTCAGAAGCTCTTGAGGGAACACCATCCCCATAACCTTCTCTGAATCATCCAAGAGAGCAGAAATGGATGCATCTGACTCCAGCCTGCCTCTCATTTCACACAAAGGAAACGGCATTTGTGTTTCATATTGTCTTGTTGACCGTGGCGTTCTAGCGAGGCATCCGTGGCCTTTTGATTTATAGACAGGCCTCTGTTGTATCTGACATTGCTATTTAAACGCTAAACACCCTAATCGTGGCTGCTATTACTGTCATCACGTACCAGCCATCCTTCTGAGATTCAATCTAGCCGGGGCTGGCTGGCAAAGCATTATCTGGGTATTTGTCTGCCTGGCGGAGGAGGCGCCTTTCGTCTCTGCCTTTCATCCATCGGTGTCTCAAGGACCACCGTTCTCCAAAACAAGCCATTTACCTTGCCGTCATCGGCAAAAACAATCAAGCTGCGTCGTTTGTTGGGCTTGTGTATTTTTTATTATCATTCTTTGAGATTGGAAACCAAACGCTAAATGAGATCATAACATCATAAACAAAGAAGATGGAGACAAATTGGAGAGGATTCAGAGATCAGCAACAGGGATGATTAAGGGGCTGGAGAGACTGACTTGCAAAGAGAGATTAGAAGAGTGTGGAGTTTGGCCAAAGAGGGACTGATGCCAAGGTTAATGACCCTCCAGGAGGATCAGAAGGAAAGGCTAGGAAACATCAGCGTCTCTAAAGCAGCCCAGAAAAGCCAGTTTCTCCATTTTGAGCATCCCAGTCATGTCTCTGGGCGAAGCTTGTTTCCAGGTTTGTGACCCTTGAGCCAGTTCAGAGGAAGAGAATAAAAGTCTCACGTGCAGGAGCACAAAGTTTTCTCCCTGTTAGGTGAGATTTCTAGAGTCTTTGCACATTTTCCCATTGTATTATTATTTTTGGCAGGAGGCGATTTGGGCAGGAATCTCAAAGTCAGCATCAGTTTATGGTTTTTATTTCAGTGGAGCAATGAATCCTCTCTGTGTTTTAGTCTGGCCATGAGCTGTCCAAGGTGCTGAATCCATTTTGCAGAAAGTTCAGACCTTGGAAAGATCTCTAAATTTTAAAACTAAAAGCTTGAGCAGATTCAGAAGTCACCAGGAACTGCTTTTCTAAACTCAGTTTGAAAGTCATCTGGGGGCAAAAACTAAGGGGCAAATCTATGACTAAAATAATAATAATAATAATAATAATAATAATAATAATAATAATGATAATGATAATGATGATCAACGTTGAGTCACTTCCAGAAGACACAGCATACACTTTCACATATTTACACATTGGTGCTGTCATTATAAGATACCACTGATGTCCATCAAGGGATGTAAAGACTTCAAAAAATGGCTTTTAAAATAACATCTATATTTATAATTTTATCATTCTTCTGTTTAGTCACTCCTGTTTTGTATAGTTTTTAATCTCTTCCTATATATATTTTTTAAAAAATGTGGTGTTAGCTGCCTAGAGTCTCATTATTGGGAGAAAGGTAGAAAATAAATAAATTGATGAATAAATAAAGTATCATTTATAAAGTACTTGCTTTGATGTAATAGGATTTCATTTGACAAGTATGTCTTTAATACTGTGTATGTTTGTTAGAATTTTATTTGTGAGCCACCTTGTTGCTGTTGTTGTTCTTGTGTTCCTTCAAGTTGACTCTGACTTATTGGTGGGGTTTTCTTGACAAGATTTGTTCAGAGGAAGTTTGCCATTGCCTTCCTCTAAAGCTGAGAGAGTGTGACTTGCCCAAGGTCACCCAGTGGGTTTCATGACACAGATGCAAATCTAACCCTAGTCTCCAGAGTCATAGTCCAGCACTCAAACCACTACATCTTGCTGGTTCTCATGGAATGGA